ATCCGCCTCTTACGCATCTCGCCTTGGACGTTACCCTTGATTTACAGAGTTTGGTAGCTGTCCTCCCTCCTCCTGCTCCCAAATTACTGTCCTTCCTATGTGTCTCAGCACGACCATTTCTCCTTCCTATTATCCTGGAAGTGTTCAGCCCATCTACCGGGCACTTTTCTCATCTCGCTTCCTCTCCTGCCTGCAGGGTGAAGATCCATCCCTGATCTATTCAGGTGACTGCTACGCCAGATGATGCATGAGGGATCCACGCTCCTGCTCCCGATGCTGCAACAAGAAACCCAGCATGCGGAGGAAGGGATTCTTAATGGCACACATTCCCAACAAACTAAGGCCTGGAGAGATTAATACTCTTTACACAAGAGCTGCTGAGGAGCTCAGTGGCCGAGGAATCTGGTTGCGGAGACAGAGGTTAGGAGTTTGATTCCCCCAAGGCCTCCCTTCCATCTCTGCAGTTCTAAGATGATGATTAGAGGCGTATAGGAGAAATTTCTAATCAAATGAACTCCATCATTCTAGTATACACCTCATTTGCCTGAGTCTTTCTGAGTGCAAACTGTGAGCTACAGGTGTACTTTTTTCCCCTCATAGACACCATGGACAGGTAAATCGCTCCTCTGTCTTGCCTGGATTGAGTTTCAGTTTGTTCACCCTCACCCAGTCCGTGACGGATCCCAGACGCTGATCTAGAAGAGCTGAAGCAGCTTCTTCGGGTTTAGGTGGCAAGGAGTGGGAGAGTTGGGTGTCACCCGCATAGTGGTGGCACCGAACCCCCCAAACTCCAGACAATCCCTCCCAGCAGTTTCATGTAGATGTTCAACAACAAAGGGGACCAAACAGAGTCCTGAGGGACCCCACTGCCACTATGGTGCCAGGGCGTCAAACAGCAACTCCCCAGACCCACCACCTGTGTTCTCTCCTCCAGGAAGGCCAGGAGCCGCAGCAAAACGGTGCCCCCAAGTCCCACCCCAGAGAGATGGGGCAGCAGGATATCATGGGCGAGAGGATCGAAAGCCGCCGAGAGCCGACAGCAAAACCGACAGGGACGCAGATCCCTTGTCCGGTTCCCATCATCGTTTGTCTCGCATCAAGGTGACCGAGGCCGTCTCTGTCCCCCAACCGGGCCTCCTGAAGCCAGACTGAAATGGGTCCAGAATACTCTGTGTCTCATCCAGGAACCTCCAGAGCTGAGGGTCCACCACCCTCTCTAGCACCTTCCCAAGGATGGGGCATTAGAGGACGGGTCGGTAATTATTCAATATCATGAATAATCTCTCTCTCTCTCTCCCTCCCTCCCTCTCTGTGTGTCTGTGTCTGTGTGTCTGACTGACAGCTCATAGCATAAATGCACAGATTAAAAACATACAGCCAGGTGGCAATGTAATGAACAGGTAGGCAGGTATCAAACTGAGGAGATGGCAAATATATGATCTCTGTGTGTGTGTGTGTGTGTGTGTGTGTGTATGTGCACACACATGTGTGTGAGTATATGCACATGCATGTGCACACACACAAATACAAACACACAGAGACATACAGACATATGCATGCAGGCTATTTTTCATTCCCCCTTCAGCCAAACTATACCAGTCCTGTGAACTGCTTTCTTTCTTCGCAGGAAGAAGGAAAAGACATTCCAGGTTTGATTTCAGCAGGGCAGGAAGAACAACCACAGGATGTGATGCAACGGGCCAAGTGAGAAAATGAAAAAGTGAGGAATTTATGTCCAAAGGCACAGGCTGTCTGGAGGTTTAGAGCTGAAAAAAGCAACAGTCATGAAGCCAGAGGAGTAGGAGGAGGAGGAGGAGGAGTCTCATAATGGGTTTACCTCCTGCCAAACACAAAGTCTGGCTATAGACAGGGAGAAAGACAAATTTGCAAACTCTAGGGTAGGAGAGAATGGGGCCTATCAAGAGAGAGGAAATTTTCTGCGCAGGTGTTGGTCCTGCTTCTCACCTTACCCCGAGCGTAGCAAGGCGCCAAGATTCCTCTATCATCAACGGGGCCAGAAATACGAATTATTGCCTCTGAACGGCACCACTGAGTTCTAGCCTTCCACCCATCTCTTGTTGCTTTCAAACTTCTAGCACGCAACCCCCGCTACCAAATCTACGATGCTGTAGATTCCTGCCAAAGCCGAGCAAATTGTGCACCGGAAGCTTCGAATGGAAGCAGACGGAGAATCAAAGAGACAGAAACTGCCTTTCATTCCACCCCCTTTTAGCCCCCCCCCACACACACACACACAAAAGTGCACACCTCTCTTGTTATTTTGCTGTCAAGTCAGAATGGACGTATAGTGGACCCTTTCAAGGTAAGTGTGATATTTAAGGAATAGCTTTAGCAGTTTCTCACACCCCATGAGTTTCCATGGCTGAGTTGGGATTTGAACCCAGGCCTCTTGAGTCCTAGTTAATTCATTGATCTATATACTGCACTATTCTGGTTATCCACACACCTCTCTTAAAATAATAAGCATCTGTCTTCAAGTCAGTTCTCACTTATGGCAACCCTCTTCTCCTGGTAGAGAGTACTCAGAAGCGGTTTCCCTTTCCCTTCTTCTGGGGGGTAGCCTTGGGATCGCTGCGCAGCTGGCCCAAGGCCACCCAGGCTGGCTCTGCTCTTTAGGGAGCCCGGTGGGGAACTGAACACCCAACCATTGACTCTGCAACTAAGGACCTAAACCACTGAACTATTCATCCAGCTTACATCTCTCTCAATGGCACCCTTTTTTTTGCCTGCAAACTGGACGGTGCACATGTGGAGGAGAAAAGTGCCACCTTCAATGGGCACCAGTGCTGGCAGTCGCGCCTGCCTCTTATCTCCCCGGCCAGTCTCTCGTCTCCTTTATGCCATCATCCACTGCAAGGCAAGGGGCAGCCACTGACCCCACTCTCAGCTTTTCTCTTCACGGATCTGGACCTCTAACGGTGGAGTTGTATGGAAGGCATTCTCCTGCCGGGAAGATGCCGCCAAATGGATCAGAATCATGCTGGACGTGGACAACGCTGAGCGAGCAGACCGTTACCGTTTTTCTTGTTATTTTATCTTTTGGCTTGACGACAGGAAGGAGCCCCATTCACTCAGGTACGGGGCCGGGTGGGCAAAGCGCAGGGTGGCCGTGTCAGAAGGCAGCGATTCCAATTCAAATGGCCTTGTGCGCTTTCAGCAACACAAACATCATGAATAAGCTCTCAAAAATCGCTTCCACTTGAGGCTGACATTTCCAGACAGTGTGAGGATGATCTTGTCGTGAACGGAAAACACATTTGCTCGTTGCTGGGTTGCAAGGGTGATGGGAGGGGAGGAGCAAGATCGATGTCTTGCTGGGGGGGGGCGCGCAAAAGATTGGTAATGGAGCCAAAGAGCTGGAGAGGCACCGGGGGGGGGGGTGCGGGGGAAGGCAGCGTTTGGCAGACACACATGGCGACTCCGTGTATGCCTGGGGAGACCCCTGGAATCCTGATAACTGCCTTTGTATCATTTTCACTGGAACCCATCACACATGTCTGTTTGGAGCAATCATAGCTCCGTCTCTTCGTATGCTTGTCAAAAGGGGGAGGAAGATGCCACGCGGCAGGCAAACGGGATACTAGGCTAGACCAGCAACCTTGTACCCGAGGAAAGAAGGGCATTCCTTGCTAGAGGACAGCCAGAAAGTAATTGAGTTAAAAATGCCTAGCTAATATTAATGGGAACGAGCCCCTTCTTTAAATCAGAACAAAGGGAAATTGGTCAAAATCTCACTGGGGGCAACAGAATTGCACAACAGCAATTTGGCTACCTATCTGCCTACCTACCTGAGGATCTCTGTTCGATCATCCTAGAGCGCAGGATACATAATCTTGGGCTCAAGCGACGGGAAACTAGATTTCGGCTGAGTATCAGGAAATACTTCCTAACTGTTAGAGCAGTACGATAATGGAACCCATGACCTCAAGGGGAGGTGGTGAGCGCTCCAGCGCTGGAGGCCTTCCAGGGAAAATTGGGAAACCACCTGTCAAATGTGGTTTGATTTGGATTCCTGCATGGCGCAGGTTGGACTCAATGGCCTTATAGGTCCCTTCCAACTCAATTATTCTATTTCTCCATCCGTTCGTCCGTCCATCTCTCTATATCTCTATCCATCTATCTATCCATCTCTGGCTGCCTGTCCATCTGATTTATATACTGCCCCGTTAGTGGACGCCCTACTCCGGCCATCGTTGGAACAGCCAAGCGCCCCTTCAGGCACGGATGGATGCAACAAGGGACACGTTGTTGGCCAGCCAACTGCCTACTCAACCCCGCACAAATCCAGCAGGGTAACTTGACCGGAGATTACGTAAGACCCTTTCGCTCTCTCGGTGGCGAAACCATTCAGTTCAGAGGGGCTTTTGCAGTTCTCAAATGCCGAAGGAAGACTCTCGCACGGTTCAAGGGCTGCTCTGCGCCGTGCCTTGTTTTCCCTCCTCGTGTCCTCTTGAGGGTGTTGGGATAAGATCAAAGTGATGAAGAAGGAAATGCCCTTCGTATAACATGCCAGTGCTTTGAAACATACCTCCCTGCCCCCTGTGGAATTAACTGGGAAGTGACTACGTGAGCGACATCTGAGACGCGGGGAAGGAGGAAAGAGCCCTTCGTAAACTGTAACCAGAAGAGGAGAAAATTAGCTTTTAGAGTTCAGGACCGTCTTCTGTGCCTTTGGCACTCTTTGTGCAACCTTGCTCAATGAATGTATTTATTCTTGTTTCTTCTCGCGTGAGAAGTTCCATAAGACATGTTGTCCTTGTGCGGGAGAAAGCAAATAATTGAACGGTTCCCCCATCTTTGCTTGTGAGGACAAAACAAGCAAAGTTTGTGATATAAAACTATACCAGGAAGGCCTTAAATGGGATGGGCAGCCCACTTCCACGACGGTCTGGTTATCCCTGGAGCATTCATTGATTATAGGAGACAGGGCCCATTCTTCACTTAGCCCCACCTGCCCGGAAACACTTCATCGGACGTACCATGCAGCCGGTGGAATCCACCTTCCGTTCCGACACACACTTGAAGTTCCGGGTGCAGCCGCCGTTGTTGCGTGAACAGTCTCGGACTGGCCCGAAGGAGGAGAGCAGGTCGTTGATGGTTTCGAAGTAGGTCGACAGCATGGCTTCTTCCCTTGGAGAGGAAGAATTAAATGTTAAAAGAAATACAACCACACACAGACACATGTGGCTGGAGAGAGACCTGCTTCTTTTATGTTTCTTCTTCCTCCAACTCACTTTTCCCACTAGTCCTCAGGTTCAACCCTTGGGAGGGTGCCATGCAATTCATGTCCTACAGGTATGCCCTCCACAAGTCCCTGGCTGATCAATAGAAGACTGGACTACAACAGATTTCTGGTCTGATCGGGCACGGCTCTTCTCATGCTCTGCAGAAGCTGTACCCAACGTGCTTCTCTGTAGATCATAGCTCCCCAGCCTTGGGTTCCCCAGATGTTCTTGGACTGCAACTCCCAGAAATCCCAGCCAGCCCAGCTGGTGGTGAAGGCTTCTGGGAGTTGTAGTCCAAGGACATCCAGGGACCCAAAGTTGGGAATCATTGTTGTGGAAGGCCTGGAAACATCCCCAGTCATTTTAGCCGAAACAGTTTGGACTACATATATGCACACTAATCACCAGCAACTACAACATGACATGTTTCAAAAAGAAATGTGCAACACTGCTCCATTGAAGGAGAGGAGAGGAGAGGGAATGGGAAGGAAGGAAGGAAGGAAGGAAGGAAGGAAGGAAGGAAGGAAGGACACTTCAGCCCAATGGCAAAGTTCTTGTGGAATTCGTTCTACTGCCATTCAGCCAAAGACAAAAGGAATGGACTGCAAAATGCTCCCTATTTCATCTTACACCTTCTACTGGGTGGAACTAACCCTTAGGAGAAGCTGAGACGATGTGGCCGTCTGAGGAGCCCTAGAAAGCTGAACTGGGACACCAGGGAGTTCTGGACTCAGCTGAAGAGTCTGATGAGCTCCATCCTTCTAAGAGAGATAATTGTGCTTGAGGTCATCAAGCACAAGGCCACTTACGAAGGGATAAGCTTTGAGTGGCACCAAAGGAATTGGAGATCTGGGGGGGGGATAATAACTGGAAAAGGGGTCTTTATTCACAAAGGCAAGCAACTTAGGAAGGGTCACCAATGCAAAAATGAAAAGGTAGAAGAACTGGTGTGAGACATCTTAAACATTAACTCCTCTAGAATAGGGATCAACAGGGTGAAACACAGGCAAGGAAAGACAAGCACATGCTCAGCTGGGATGAACAAGCTGGCCTCCCACCTCCAGGAGCCGTTGTTGTTTTTCTTCCCCTGCCGTTGTGTTTGAGAGACAATTATTATTATTTAAACATGACGTTCTGAACAAGAGCAGGTAACCGAGGGGCAGGGAAGGGGTGGCTGCCATTGCTAGGGGAAACCGGAGAACAAACGGTTGCTTTGGGAGGAGGAGGAGGCTGGCAGCGGCCCCTCAAGCAAAGCCTCTGAGCGCATCACGCGCCAAGGCTGATGTGCAGGAACCAACTGATGTGAGACGAATCAGGCCTCCCTTTCACTGACGCTTTGGCATCCCTGCCACATTCCACGCCCAAAGGGAACATCACAAAGAGCGGTTGGTTTGGACTGATAAGACCTTCGTCAAGTTTGCACTGATTCCCAAACCGGGTAGAGAATCAGAGAGCTGATTCTTCAAACACTTGCTTAGTTGTTTTTTTTTAATGCTTAACAGCAGCAGCAATAATGGCAGCCACAAGAAGAAGACATGACATTGTGTATCGGCTAAAGCAGTGGTCCCCAACCTTGGGCCTCCAGATGTTCTTGGACTTCAACTCCCAGAAATAATGGCCAGCAAAGGTGGTGGTGAAGGCTTCTGGGAGTTGTAGTCCAAGAACATCTGGAGGTCCAGGGTTGGGGACCTCTGGGCTAGCAAACCAATCTCACTCGGCCTTGATGTTCACATAATGACTTAGCCTGGTCACCCTCGCTCACTCCGCTTTTTACCTCAGAGCAGTGGTTCCCAATCTTCTTGGACTAAAACTCCCAGAACTCTTCCCCACTCCGCTGTGCTGGCTAGGATTTCTGGGAGTGGTAGTCCAAGAACATCTGATCTGGGAACCACTGATCCAGAACTTCCCTTCTTCGCTTTCCCTCCCCGCTGCTACTATGGGAAGAGAGCACACGCCAACAGAAAAGGAATAAATTTACACCAAAGCTGACAGCAAGAACCACCCTCAACAAAACAGGCAAAATGCACTGCATTGCTTAAGATCAGGAGGCATTCAGTCTTCTTCATAGGTAAGGGTGTGTGTGCGTGATTCCCAAAGTTACTTTGATAGTACATCCAAAATGAACTGCTGCCCAGAGGGGCAAGATTTGGGGAGGTCTTCCAAGGCTTCAGTAATTGATCCCTATGGACTTTGTTCCCTCAGCTCAAACTTTGGTACTGCTTTCATGCTTAAAAGGACAAGGGGTGACCTCCTGGTCTTTCCATATGCAAAGAGGAAGATAAAGAACCCACCCACGGGGAAACTCTGCCTAAATACCTTGCTTGTGACATCATTTGAGCTGGGATAATCTCTACTTAAGGGGACGTGGTGGCGCTGCGGGCTAAACCACAGAAGCCTCTGTGCTGCAGGGTCAGAAGACCAGCAGTCGTAAGATCGAATCCACGTGACGGAGTGAGCGCCCGTCGCTTGTCCCAGCTCCCGCCAACCTAGCGGTTCGAAAGCATGCTAATGCGAGTAGATAAATAGGGACCACCCCAGTGGGAAGGTAACAGCGTTCCGTGTCTAAGTCGTGCTGGCCATGTGACCACGGAAGATTGTCTTCGGACAAAGGCTGGCTTTATGGCTTGGAGATGGGGATGAGCACCGCCCCCTAGAGTCAAACACGACTGGACAAAAATTGTCAAGGGGAACCTTTACCTTTACTAATCTCTACTTACAAAGATTGATCTTTAGCAAAGTTGCTTCTTTCCTATCTTTTGAAGACTAGAAGGGGAAGGATAACCCTAGTCCCACAATTTCATTACTCAGAGCGTTGGATGAGCCCACATCAGATCCTTGCTGGATCTAAGTAGGGTTCTTTGTGTGTTTTTTTTCTTGTATTCATTTTTACTCTAGATCAGTGGTCCCCAACCTTGGGTCTCCAGATGTTCTTGGACTATAACTCCCAGAAATCCTGACCAGCACAGCTAGTGCTGAAGGCTTCTGCGAGTTGTTGTCCAAAGACATCTAGGGAACCATTGCTCTAGATTCGCCAGCAAATGACTGGTGCAAAAGACACACCTCAAAAATTTAAAATGTTGTAGTCTAAGAACTTCTACCGAATATAAGAGTGTAATCTCTTTATTTGGGAACCACCCTGTGTTCAGGACATCAACGAACAGAATCATTATGTCAGAATCATCTTAGACATGCAGAGCTGAAATGGAATAACCAAGTCCAGCCCTTGTCAAGGAGACACAGTGAGGGATCAAACTCCCAACCTGAAACCACTGAGCTCTACCGCAGTTCTATTGAACTGAGACTTTCCGGTCTGTGACAAACATAACTGATGACAAGACAGTCCAAGGTCCCAAAGTGCTTCACTCCGAAGGGTGGGTGCTGGAGGAGGCAAAGCAGCGATGCAAAGACTACTGGGCTAGCATATGGTAAATACGTGGACGCCCAGACCAAAATCAGCTTTGTTTCTCGGAAAGCTGTCCTGTCCTGCCAACTTCCCCAGCAGCACAGCACATCTTTTTTTGAAATCGATGGGAGTTTCAAAGCTACATGCTAATAAAGTGTGAAGAGGAGAGATGTCAAAAGGAGTGATTTAATTTAAATTATATATGAATGCATTTAAAAACAGTACATAGTTCAAGTATATTACAGACAGATTTGTTAATCTTCTTTTTACTGGTGTTAAGACCCTAGATTGCGAGGTGCAAAGGGACGGCACGGCTTTCATTCTTGATGTTTAGTTATAAAAGAAGTGTGGATAGAGTGCAGATCAAAACAGAAAGCAAATGCAGCACACATTGGAAAAACATGAGTTAGTTTGCTTTGATGTTGGTAATTAGAATACTCTTCATTAGAGATGGACACAACTCGTTTTGCGCAGGGTTGTTGTGTTCTCTTCCACCGCACTCCTGGCGGCTCTTCCACTCACCATCAAGCACACACCATGTGACTGTCCAGTTGCAACAGGAGGACGGACTTCCTTTTCTCTGCCTCCCCCAGCAGCTGCCCACTCGGACAAAGAGGCAGGGCAGGGATTCCTGCAGCTCTGCCTTTGAGTGGGCAGCTGCTGGAGGAGGTGGGGAAGGGAAGTCCAGGCTCTTGATGCAACTGTAAAGTCGTGCGAAGAGCAGTGCATGCTGGCTGGTGGGAGGGGGAGCCGCCCTGGGGACAGGGGAAGGGCACATGTCGCATCAATGACTTCTGATGAATTGGCACAAAGTGAGTGGTGCCCATCTCTATTTGTAATCCACAAACAATTATTGTGTGCTATCAACTCACTTCCAACTTATGGCAGGGTTTTATAGGCAGAGGATAATCAGAAGTGGATTACCATCCCTTGTCTTCTAAGGGAATCCTATGGAATGTGCAGCTTGCCCAAGGCTATCCAGGCTGGCTCTTCTTCCAGGAGGCCCAGGGGTGGAGAATCAAACTCCCAACTTCTGGCTCCACAGGCAGAAATCTAAACCACTCAGCTATCGAGCCAGCTTAGTGTTTATTTATATACCTTCAAATAAAGTATTTAACCATCCCCAGGCTTTAAACTCTTCAGGGCAGGTTCTCTTGTACAGAGTGACAGTCCTTTTGACATAGGACAGGGCAGGAAAAAGGCTGACCATTGAATGTTGTGAGCGATTTGCTTATTGGACAAAGCCATGTTGTTCCAAGATCTGCACCATCGACTTCAAACAAGGTCGAGGCAGGAGCATGAAGAAGAATATCTGCCCATCTGCTGATAACCTGCTAGTCTGCTAGTCTCCTAGGCAACCAAGAACTTGGTTAAAGAAGAAGTATGCACCTAAAGTTCAGATAAACATGAAAAACTAGGATCGGTAAAAGATTTCTATAAATTATACGCCTCACATCCTCGTTTGCTGTAGTTCTTACAGTTTGCAATTACTCAGCACGTTC